TCTCTCTCTCTCTCTCTCTCTCTCTCTCTCTCTCTCTCTCTCTCTCTCTCTCTCTCTCTCTCTCTCTCTCTCTCCCTCCTCTTTCTCGCTCTTTCTAACTTGTTATAATAATATCGCAGAGTATGTGCCAAGGTATTTTAACACAGGTATAACCACTTAATGGAGATAATAGATAACAGCTTCCAAGCTAAGCTAAGCCTCATCACCTTCATCCATTGCAAACATTTTTTTCTTTCTTGCACTGCACTTAATAACAATGACAATAAAATATCACACAAATTGCTGGGGTCAAGAAAGGGGTCGGAGCTGATGACGTCACCATGTATAGCCAATGAGAGTGTGCTGTGATTTGTATGATTTTCTTGCTATTGTTACATAATTATCAAAAGTAAAACCAAAATTTCTTTCATCTATATACGATAACGAAGAGTTGCTGAACATTCACAGCCGTGAGAATACTCGAGGGAAAAATTGATTTCATTTCTGGGTTCAATAGTTTCAATGGAAATGGAGCTATCTGTTTGTATGTTCTTATAAATGTAATAGATTAGTTAACTGAATTTCCAATATTGAAAGGGTATTTACAATTTTTAGGCATTTCATACAACAGCAAAATCTCGCATCTTCCATATATCAGAGCCCGAGAAAGATTTTTTTTTCTTCATGATTTCAAATATTTCGGCGATTTGTCAAAGAAAAAACAATTCTACTTGTTTAAACTTTAATGTTTCTTCTTCACCATTTTCGCAGAGAGTTACGGCTCCGGGTCGGACATAGCGCTGGTGCTGGACAAGCTTACTGAATATTACTCGGGTTTCTACAGAGACCTCAGGGGCGATGGTAATAATGCCGAAGCTCACAGTCAGGTATGATGTCTTCATTTCTCCCCTTTTATTCATCTTTACTCAGAGCGTTCTTAATGTTATTGTCATTTTCTTTATTTTTATCATATTTTTCTTTCCATTTTTCTGTGTTTCTTTCGTTGTTTTTTCTGCCTCTGTCTCTCTGTAAATGTCTCTACTCTTTCTCTTTATCTATCTTTGTCTTTGTCTATTTATCTTTCTCCCAACCTTATCACATAAATCGCTTCCCGACAGTTTATTTTCGTTATTATCATTTCTATTTGTGTTGTTTCTATTATCATCATCATCATAATTATTATGATTATTGTTATTGCTATTATTATTATCTTAGGTAGTAGCAGTAATAGTATTGTTTATCATACCATCATTTTTATCATTGATTTTATTATCATCATCATTATCATTATTAGTAGTACTAGTAGTATCATCATCACTATCGCCATTATTATCGTTTTTATCTTTTCGTCGTTTCTCCTCAGATTGTGTTGTGGAACGTGCCATCTAATCCGTCTATTGACATCAACGACTTCTACATGAACATGAAGAACTTCCGTCTGAATTATCCAGGTGGGTTGAGTGCTCCAAAGGGGCCGGATTATCCAGGTGGGTTGGGAAGTTCAGGTGGGTCGAATTATCCAGGTGGATTGAATTATCCAGGTGGATTGAAGTATCCAGGTGGATTGAAGTATCCAGGTGGATTGAAATATCCAGGTGGATTGAATTATCCAGGTGGATTGAAATATCCAGGTGGATTGAAGTATCCAGGTGGATTGAAGTATCCAGGTGGATTGAAGTATCCTGGTGGGTTGGGAAGTTCAGGTGGGTCGAATTATCCAGGTGGATTTAATTATCCAGGTGGATTGAAGTATCCAGGTGGATTGAAGTATCCAGGTGGATTGAAGTATCCAGGTGGATTGAAGTATCCAGGTGGATTGAAATATCCAGGTGGATTGAAGTATCCAGGTGGATTGAATTATCCAGGTGGGTTGGGAAGTTCAGGTGGGTCGAATTATCCAGGTGGATTGAATTATCCAGGTGGGTTGGGAAGTTCAGGTGGGTCGAATTATCCAGGTGGATTTAATTATCCAGGTGGATTGAAGTATCCAGGTGGATTGAATTATCCAGGTGGATTGAATTATCCAGGTGGATTGAAGTATCCAGGTGGATTGAAGTATCCAGGTGGATTAAATTATCCAGGTGGATTGAAGTATCCAGGTGGGTTGAGAAGATCAGGTGGGGCGGATTACTCGGGTTGGTTGAATCATCCACGTGGTAGAAAATCCAGGTGGGCTGAATTATCCAGGTGGGATGGTTTACTCAGGTGGGTTGAGCTGTCCAGGTGGGTTTAATTATCCAAGTGAATAGAAGAGTGAGGATATCTCAATCCTATGAATAAGTAAATGAAAAGTGTAAATAAATAAGTGAATAAAGCAAATGAAAAGAGTAAATAAATAAAGAAAGAAAGTAAATGAAAAGAGTAAATAAATAATAAAGAAAGTTAATGAAAATAGTAAATAAATAAGTAAACAAAATAAATGAAAAGAGTAGATATGTAAGTAAATAAAGTAAATGAAAATAGTAAATAGATAAGTAGATAGAGTAAATGAGTATGAAACGGACTTAATTGTTAATTATCATTTATGATGATGATAGTAAATGTGATACAGATAATGATTATGGGGATGATAATGACATGAGGAATTGATGGTGATAATTATGATAAAAGTAGTAATGATGCTGCTGATAATAGTCCTAATGCTAGTAACAATAGTAGTAGTGTTAATAGTGATATTGAAAGCCTCCTTTCTTATCAAGATCATGATAATACCATGAAAAAAGGTAAAGATAGACAAAGCCAAATAAAGATAAAGATAGACAAAGCCAAATAAAGATAAAGATAGACAAAGCCAAATAATAATAAAGACAGACAAAGCCAAATAAAGATAAAGATAGACAAAGCCAAATAAAGATAAAGATAGACAAAGCCAAAAAAAGATAAAAATAGACAAAGCCAAATAAAGATAAAAATAGACAAAGCCAAATAAAGATAAAGACAGACAAAGCCAAATAAAGATAAAGATAGACAAAGCCAAATAAAGATAAAGATAGACAAAGCCAAATAAAGATAAAGATATACAAAGCCAAATAAAGATAAAAATAGACAAAGCCAAATAAAGATAAAGACACACAAAACCAAATAAAGATAAAAATAGACAAAACCAAATAAAGATTTTAAAAAAAGATAGACAAAACCAAATAGATAATGGACTAAAAACCAGAACGACTAATAATAACTCTTTTTTTTTCCATCCACGTTTCCCAATAGACGTATACTTCCTGATGGTCGGCAAGAGCAAAGGTTCTTACAATGACATCCTCCTTGACATCTCCAAGGACTTCTTCACCAACAACGTCCTCGAGCAAGAAGACTTCGCCACAGTCGTCTCGAAACGCGTCCTCGAGAGTAAGAGACGCGAGTGTGGGTCGTTTGAAGTCACAGAGAGAGAGAGAGAGAGAGAGAGAGAGAGAG